TGAAACGTCTTCAAGCAACTTAAAGAAGTCCAGACGCTTTTCTTTGCAAGCTCCTTTGACTACGATGACCTGGATGACTGAGAACCTTCACAGACATACATCCCCAGTTTACCTTTTTTGCTTTCTTCTGACCCATCTCATGCTCTGGCCTTCATCTGGGTCGGAGTTTTCTCCAGGACCCGGTCAGACTGACTGCTGTTTCTGTTCAAATATTTATCTATTGCTATTATGCGCTGCATCGTCTCACAGCGTGAGGATTATGTAATTTCTTCTTCGACTTCTTCTGTTTTACTGGCAGTTGGAGACCCATTGAATTAGAGCAGGTAGTTGTACTGCCCTCTAGTGGAAGAGAATGCCATTGTTCTGCCCGTTACTCACGCCGGTCATTTAGAGTACTAAACAGGTGGAATCAGATAATCTGCCGCACCACAGTGGTTGGGAAACACGGCTATAAACCGTGTGGACCGGCTACAAGCATGGCTAAAGGTTAAAGGTTACACCAGGTGAAGATGAGGGTTCAGACAGATCCATTTTAGGGATGTACCCTTCTTCTGGATTCCTTTGATGTATATAAAAAACATGAAATCCCGCTGTCTGCTGCTGTTCATCAGGACCAAAGAGGGTGGTGCTGTGAAGCTTTGGGACCAGGAGATGAAGCGCTGCCGAGCTTTTCAGCTGGAGACCGGCCAACCGGTGGAGAGCGTCCGATCTGTCTGCAGAGGAAAGGTGTGAAGAACACACAGTGGAAGGTCCGTGGTGCTTGATGTTATTGTGATTCCAGTGACAGGAAGAGTAACCTCCAACTCTCTGACAGGGTAAAATCCTGGTGGGAACCAAGGATGGGGAGATCATAGAGGTTGGAGAAAAGAACGCTGCCTCCAACACCATGATCAACGGACACACTCAGGGAGGGATCTGGGGTTTGACAAGTCACCCTTTCAAAGACGTCTTCATCTCCGCCAGCGATGACGGGACCATCCGAATATGGGACCTGGCTGATAAGGTACGGGGTTGAACTGTGGTGTGCTGCCGACCTCACCTGGTACGGTGTATTCCTTTAATCCTGCTTTCTGTCTTAGAAACTCCTGAACAAGGTGAGTTTGGGCCATCCTGCCAAGTGCACGTCCTACAGTCCCAACGGAGAAATGGTTTCCATTGGCATGGAGAACGGGGAGTTCATCGTCCTGCTGGTCAACTCGCTCACCGTCTGGGGCAAGAAGAGAGACCGCAGCGTGGCCATCCAGGATATTCGGTGGGTTTGAACATTAGCACGAACAGGAGCCTCTAACAGTTCTGGGACTAACTTCAGTTTCTGGATCTCTTTGTTCAGGTTCAGTCCAGATAACCGGTTCTTGGCGGTGGGCTCAGTTGAAAGCACTGTGGATTTCTACGACCTCTCTCTCGGGCCATCGCTTAATCGGATTGGTTACTGCAAGGACATTCCCGGGTGTGTCATCCAGATCGACTTCTCTGCTGACAGCAGACACATCCAGGTACTTTCACTTCCTTCTTAAATAAAGGTTAAAGGTTAAGAAGACACGTGCTGAGTTATGACACATGGGTCTGTTGTTGTGACCTCTGACCTTTTCCTTGTGGGTCAGAGCTCTGTCAGGTGAGAGCTGGTTTTCAATGTCTTGATTTATTCACAGGTGTCCACAAGCACCTACACCCGGCAGGTGCACGAAGTTCCCTCAGGGAAGGTGATCACGGATCAGCCCATCCTAGACAGGATCACCTGGGCAACCTGGACCAGGTGAGACAGAAAAGTTGATTTGCTGTGCTTAATGTTAGCTAACGTTAGTGTTAGTGGGAATGCCTCAGACCATGTATGGGTCTCAAACTCCTCGAGGGGCGGTGTCCTGAAACTATTCCATGTGTCCCTGCTGCATCACACCTGAATACAATTAGTGGGTGATTAGCAAGGCTCTATAGAACTTGACTGGATGCTGAGGTGGTGACCCCTAACCCTACCTACTCGAGTGTTTGGAAAAATTTACTTTTATTGCACTGTGTTCATTCAGTCATGAGCTGCTGTAACAGTAGGGCTGCCACGATTAGTCGACTAGTCACGATTACGTCGACTATCAAAATCGTCGACGACTGATTTAATAGTCGACGCGTCGTTTGAAGCTTTGTAAGATCACAAAAGACGCAGGAATAAGTAG